TTGAAAAGATCAACAAAATAGACAGACTGTTAGCCAGACTAATAAAAAAGAAAAGAGAAGACTCAAATAGATGCAATAAAAAAGATAAAGGGGATATCACCACAGATCCCAAGAAATACAGACCACCATCAGAGATTACTACAAACAGCTCTATGCACATAAACCAGTAAACCAGGAAGAAATGGATAAATTCCTGGACATTGTACTCTACCAACACTAAACCAGGAGGAAACTGAAACCATGAATAGACCAATAACAAGGGCTGAAGTTGAGTCAGCAATCAATAGCCTACCGACCAAAAAAATTCCAGGTCCAGACGGGTTAACAGCAGAATTCTACCAGATGTACAAAGAGGATCTGGTTCCATTCCTTCTGAAACTATATCAAACAATACAAAAGAGGGGAGCCTCCCTAACTCATTTTATGAGACCAACATCATCCTGATACCAAAATCAGGCAAAGACTCAACTAAAAAAGAAAACTTCAGGCCAATATTCATGATAAACATCGACCCAAAAATCTTCATAAAATACTGGCAAACCAAATGTGACAGCACATCAAAAATCTTATTCATCACAATCAAGTAGGCTTCACCCTGGGGATTCAAGGCTGGTTCAACATATGCAAGTCCATAAACGTAATCCATCACATAAAGGGAACCAAAGACAAAAACCACATGATTATCTCTATAGATGCAGAGAAGGCCTTTAACAAAATTCAACAGCCCTTCATGCTAAAAACTCTCAATAAACTAGATATCAACAGAAAATATCATAAAATAATAAAAGCTATTTATGACAAACCTACAGCCAATATTATGCTGAATGGGAAAAAGCTGAAAGAATTCCCTTTGAAATCAGGCACTAGAGAAGGATGCCCTCTCTCACCATGCCGATTCAATATATAATTGGAAGTTCTGGCCAGAGCAATAAGGCAAGAAAAAGAAATATAAGGTATTCTATTAGGAAAGGAGGAAGTCAAATTGTACCTATTTTCAAACGACATGATTGTATACTTAGAAGACTCCATTGTCTCAGCCCAAAATCTTCTCAAACTGATAAGCAACTTCAGCAAAGTCTCAGGATACAAAATCAATGTGCAAAAATCACAAGCATTCCTATACACCAGCAACCGACAGAGAGCCAAATCATGAGTGAACCCCATTCACAATTGCTACAAAGAGAATAACATACCTAGGAATACAACTAACAAAGGATGTAAAGGATCTCTTCAAGGAGAACTACAAATCACTGCTCAATGAAATAAGAGAGGACACAAATAGATGGGAAAACATTCCATGCTCATGGTTAGGAAGAATCAATATCATGAAAATGGCCATACTGCCCAAAGTAATTTATAGATTCAACGCTATCCCCATCAAACTAGCAATGACCTTCTTCACAGAACTGGAAAAAACCGCTTTAAACCTCATATGGAATCACAAGAGAGCCTGCATAGCCAAGACAATCCTAAGCAAAAAGAACAAAGTCAGAGGCATCACACTGCCGGACTTCAAACTTGGCTAGTTCTAAGTTCTTTGAGAAAGCTCCCAACTGTTTTCCACAGTGGCTGAAATAATTTACATTCCCACCGGTGGTGTATAAGTGTTCCTTTTCCTCCACAACCTCACCAGTATCTGTTATTTTTGACTTTCAATAATAGCCATTCTGACTGGTGTGAGATGGTACTATTTTAAGCTCATGATATAGTGATATAGTCCTATCTTTTGGATTATGGTTTTCATATATTGCACATAATTTGTAAGCCACAGATACAATGTTGTAATTTTTATTTGAAGTCATCAAACTACAAAAACAGGCTTAAAGAAATGAAAAGAAGAAAACGAAATTTACGTTAACCATGCCTTTCCCATTTCCCATACTCTGTGGTTCTATCTTATATATATTGCCCTCCTGCTTGAAAATTTCCTTTAGCAATTTTTTTTTTTTTTTGGTAGAACAGAACTTCCGGTCACAAATTATCTCAACTTCCCTTTATCTGAAAATGTATTTAATCTACTTTTATTATTGGCGGATATTTTCATCATAGTTACAGAAGTGTATGTTTTCTTCTTTGTTTAGCACTTTAAAGCTGTGGCACCATTATTTTCTGGATTTCATTTATTCTTATGACAACATAGCCATTATTTGTCTCTTTGTTCTATATCTTTGTTCTGTATTTTTGTTCTATATTTCTTTAATTCACTAGATGATTTTAAAATATTTTTTAAATCTGCCTTTTTAGAGGTATGCCATGTACCATACAACTTTGGCCTGAAGACCAAATCTGACTTATGGCCTATATTTGTATGACCTGTAAGCAAAGGATGGTTTTATAGTTGTAAAGGTTTGTTAAAAAAATAAGTAGAAGAGGAGGATGAAGACGGCTAGGAAGGGGAAGAAGAGGATGAGGAATGAACAGTCTTTATGTGGCTTATTTTACTATCTGGCCCTTTACAGAAAAATTTTCTAACCTCAGAATTAATCTATGATTTGTCTATGTTTGGCTTTCAAGCCTACCTTGCTTGATTCACGAAGTTTCTTGGAACTTAAGCTGAGATTTTATTCCACATATAGGAAATTTTAGGCTATTTTTTAAAAGCTTGTTTTTTGACCAATATTTTTTCTTCTCTCTGCATGTGTGCTAGGGTGTTGATTGTATCTGAGGCAGTGCTAATTAATTTTTTTTCTTTATTCTTTTTTTTTTTTTGAGACGGAGTTTCGCTCTTGTTACCCAGGCTGGAGTGCAATGGCGCGATCTCGGCTCACTGCAACCTCCGCGTCCTGGGTTCAGGCAATTCTCCTGCCTCAGCCTCCTGAGTAGCTGGGATTACAGGCATGCGCCACCATGCCCAGCTAATTTTCTGTATTTTTAGTAGAGACGGGGTTTCACCATGTTGACCAGGATGGTCTCGATCTCTTAACCTCGTGATCCACCCGCCTCGGCCTCCCAAAGTACTGGGATTACAGGCTTGAGCCACTGCGCCCGGCCTCTTTATTCTTTAGATTGGATAATTTTCTCTTTATTTGTGATTTACTTTATTCTATATAATGTATATTTAATTCACTAGCAGATTTTAAAATATTCGCATTATGCTGGGCACGGAGGCTCACACTGTAATCTCAGCACTTTGGAAGGCCTAGGTGGGTGAATCACTTGAAGGCAGGGAGGCAAGACTAACCTGGCCAACATGGTGAAACCCCATCTTCACTAAAAATACAAGACTTAGCTAGGTTGTGGTGGTGGGCACCTGTAATCTCAGCTACTCGGAAGGCTGAGGCAGGAGAGTAGCTTGAACCCAGGAAGTAGAGGTTGCAGCGAGCCAAGATCACATCAGTGCACTTCAGCCTGGGTGACAGAGTTAGGTCTTATCTCAAAAATAAATAAACATAAATAAATAAATAAATTCTCATTACATTTACTTTTAACAATGATATCATGTTTGAGAAAACTTTGACCTATAGAACAAATTCTGGCCTATGACTACAAAAGCAGTTTGACTTCTCTTCCTACTATCATCTCTATCTGATGTTAAGCATAGCCAGTGAATTATTAAATTGAGGTATTTTACTTTTCAGCTTTCTGGAGTTCTTATATTCCTTACAGTGTCCATTTCTCTACTGAAATAGTCCATGCATTCAGTCATTATAAACATTGTTTCCTTTATATTCTTGGATATATTTACAGTACTTACATTGATTTCCTTGTATGTTAATTTCAATACCTGGGTCACCTCAGAATCTGTTTTTATCAACTTCTTTTTTAAATAAGGACAACATTTTCATGTTTCTTTCCTGCATATCAAATATAGTAGCTCTCCTTTAGTCGTGAGGATATGTTCCAGGAATCCCAGTTGATGCCTGAAATCACAGATAGTACCAAACCTATATATACCATGTTTTTCCAGTCTGATACCTGTGATGCGACCAAGTGACGAACAGGAGAGTAGTGTCTATATGCTGGACATAGGGACGATTCATATCCCTGGTGGGACAGAGCAAGATGGCTTGAGATTTCACCACACTACTCAAAATGGCATGCAAATTAAAACTTATGAATTATTTATTTCTGGAGTCTTCCATTTAATATTTTTGAATTGTAGTTAACCATGATAACTGAAACCTCAGAAAGCAAAACCACACATATCGTGGGAACTACTGTAATTTATCTCCTATACAGGACATTTTGGAGAATACAATGCAGAGACACTGGTTTCTGTTATGTTCCTCTGAAGATTTTGAATTGGTCCTATTTAGTAATAAACTCATGAGTGATCACTATGAGTTATGAAAGTTTACTTTCATACTTTTTCAGAACACGTTAATGGAAAACTTCAGGTATTTGTCAAACATTTCTAATGTGGTTAACTTAAAGTCCAATTTCTCTTTACTTTATGGTTTGCAGCACCTGAAAACTCTTCTCAGCTTGTTCAGTTTACCAGCTGTTGCTTTCCACTGAATTTCCAAGAATATCCTGAATGAATATACAATAAAGGGATCAGTTAATAGATCTGATTTATAGTAGCAAACAAGTTTTCATTTGTAAATTAAGCTTAGATATATATACACATGAAAGCTATATTTAATAGAGGGGTATTTCTTGGGCAAATAATTTAGTTTTCTGGTTTTTCCTATTCTGTCTGGAAAACAAATCTTGTATATACAGTATATGAACACAGTGTAGATTTGTTTAATTAAAGTAACTGTCTTCATATACTATATATAAGATAAAAAGGGATAAAATATGAAAATATCAATAATTGTTGAATCTAAGTACCAAATACATAGGAGTTTATTGTTCCATCCTCCTTAGTTTTATGTAAGCATGTAGAAGAAATACACTTTTTAAATTATAAACATGTATTAAAGGTAATTTTTATAATTTTCTCAATAATTTACTACACTGTTATTAAAGCTACTTTACCTATAAAAGTTTGCTGAAATGAAAAATATGGCTGCACTTGTTACATGTGATTAAATTCATTTTAATATTTTTGTTAGGTATCTCCAAATTATCCAAGGCCATGCCAGCCATGTCATTGTGATCCAATTGGTTCTGTAAATGAAGTCTGTGTCAAGGATGAGAAACATGCTCGACGAGGTGAGAGCTACAGCAGAATGTCACTGCTCTGATGAAAGGACAACTAAAAGCCAAATATTATTATTTTCAGAGGAATATTTTGCATTAAATGTCATTCATGTAATAAATTTATTCTTCAATCTATCAGTGTATTAGCATTCCCTCCAGGAAGCAGTTTTTAAATTAATCTCAATAATTACTTTCATGTTTAATGTTTTCATAGCAAGAAGAGTTTAATTATTTATTTTGAGATGCACACAGTGTCAATCACAGATCTGCAGTATATGTAATTTTTTTATGTTGTGTTATTTATTAGATTGTTTGCAGCTTCTATGAGTTCTAGCATGAAATCCCAGCATTTACTGAGGAATGTGTGCTGTAGTGGGAAAAGCAAATAGAAGAGCTCATACATTGAGATGTAGGCAATAATATAGAAAGCAAGATGTGTTCATAAAGGACTAAGAAGGTAGTAGTCATGAGTTAATGAAGAGAAAGAGGCTGACACTAATTTAAGCTAAACGCTTCCTTTGAGGAATGAAATTCATGAACTCCAAACATTAAGGAATCAAGTGCCAACATAACTCCTTGATATAAAGCGTTTGGGAGCTACCTCCAGGGCAGTTGCTCGCCAAGCTTAAGTAGGAAATTCACAGAATGCACTGGGACACTTCTCTAGAAAGACTAAAATAAATCAAGGCTATCTAGTTCTTTTTCCCTAATGACTTTAGTGTTATAAGACCGGAAATGTTTATTTGGCACAATTCTGCTTACCTGCTTTCTTTATACTGTAGGATTATAAATCTGAGCATTACTTCAAGTCTAAATTTTGAAATATTATAAAACTGATACGTTTTGATAGTCAAATGATGAATTACTAAGCTCACTTTTCATTTTAAGCCTTCTTTTCTTTTTGTGGTAACAAGTAAACCACAGTGTTGTTTTCATTAATGTCATTTAACCCTTCCCTACCCCTTTTTGAATGACTATATGATCACAGAAAAAGTTATAAAAATGGAAAAGTAGAAAAACAAATATACAATTCAGTGGTAATTCAGTAGAGATACCGCTATTAACATTTTCATATGTTTCTATCATAATGCATAGAGAAATTTCTGATATTTCTTTTAACTTCATGTGACAGGTTTCCTCAAAAGTCTATAAAAACTTTCTCTGAAATCTGGTTTCAACTCCTAAATAACACATTATTATATGGTTGTACCATAATTATTTACCCTCTCAACTTTGTATGGACATTAAGGTTTCAAATTTTTGTTTATTGTAACCCATGTTTTAATAAAAATTATTCCATATAAATATTTTTCAATTATCATGAAAAAATATACAGTAAAATAAATTCTTAACAGTAAAGATATAAAATAACAAGTTTCCTCTTCAACCTATTTATCCCAGTCTTACAAATTTAAGAATACTGAGCCTTTTCTCCTATTGAGTTTTTTAGTGAGTTACACTTAACATCTAAATAATATTCTTATCAGCATTGTTATTGCCATTACATGTTGCCTATTGACTCTCCATCTTGAAAGGTGAAGAAATGTATCATTCACAACAGTTCCCTCTTTTATTCCAACATTCATACATTTTTATTATGTGTTTCTTCTATGGTATCTTTATCATGTTCAAGAGAGCTTACATGTCTATTTCATCATTGACTACTTTTAGAATTTCTCTTGAAGTCCTACTGTATAAGTGGTGGTAAAGACTATTCCCACATTCTTCAGCACTTGTCAGTGTCTATCAATTACATGTTTATCTTTTCAAAGATTTTCACACTTATATTCAGCTCTGGACCAATAATTAATGCTTATAATTTAAAAATAGAAATCTAATAATCAAGATTGTAATACTGTAATTAGATACATATTATTTGATATGGACCCATTTTGCAAACTTAGAGACATATCTGTAGGTCATTTTTATCTTCATGCTTATTCTGATTACTTCGTTAGGAAAGAGTGTAAGATGTGGTCTGATGGTTTGCCCTTCTTCATCAGGTTTCATAACTAGATAGTAGAAAAGGATATTTTAGTGTATTGCTGGCATTAATTTGATTACCAGGGAAATACAATGAATTTCTTTTCTGATTTTTCTTTTAGATTTCTTCATTTTCTTTTGGTAGAAGGCAGTTTTCTCCCCCATAGATTTGTAAGAATGCTTTAAAAATTGAAAACAATAATAGTATAGTATGTCATTTTTTTAATAATCAATTTCCAGATTTGCTTTGTTTCTTGCTACTGTTGATAATTTCCAATGCACAAAACTTCAAAAGTTTTATGTAATCAGCTATCAAAATCTAAGTAAAGTTATTTACTTATAATAATGACACTATCCCATGATTATTATATATTTTGATATTTTTATTATATTTCTTACATGCCTTCATAATCCTAGAACTCTAATCTATCCCAAGATTAGAAGAATATATTTGTCTTCTTTATTTGTATGATTTCATTGTATAACGCTTAGTTTTTTTAATCCATCTGGAATTTATTTTGTTATATTTTATAAGGAAAGTTTCAAACTACATTTTGTTTTCCAATACTCTTTTTTATTCATCTACATTTAATATTACTTTCAGCTCTTTAGGCATACTGAATATATTTATTTTATTTTCTGCATCTGTTAGAAGCAGCCTGTTATCTAAGTCTGATTCTGTATTTTTATTTTTCTTCTAAGTCTTACTCACATGGATCTCATTTTCTTACGTGTTTCCTACATGTGGGTATGTGTGTTTTGTGGATGTATGCGTGCATATGTATTTCTTAGTTTATTCTTTCAGAAGCCTTGAATTTACAAGAGGCTATGTGATAATGACCTAGCTTATGGAGTACCTAGATTTGTTTTTGCTTTTCTTCCCTAAAACCATGCTCCATGGACTGTAGTCTAGTTATCAAAATTTTCCAGTTAACACCAGGAAAGACAGTGTTTTAAAGACTGACTTAGCCTTTCTAGAAGTCAATTTGGTAGTTTCTATCTCCATGGGGTTTCTTTATTTCATACCAGCACAACCATTCTATTATCTGTCATCTATCTGTCTATCTATCTATCTATCTATCTGTCTATCTGTCTATCTATCTGTCTATCTATCTGTCTATCTATCATCTATCTATCTATCATCTATCTACCTACCCACCTACTCATCTATTTTTCTATATTTAATTTTATTCTGCATCTTCCAGTGTTCTGAGCAGGGGAGTTCTTTGAACATCTAGTCTACAACACTTCCAGGAATAAAAGTTAAGATAGGCATTGTTTAATATATCAAGGACTTCTACATTTAGCCTCAATTTCTGGAAATTTTAACATCATAAGTGAATGTTAAACTATTTAATGCCTCTTCAAACTTTATTAAAATTTTCAGATTTCTTTTCCATTTGGTCTATTGGAAATTAACTTATTAAACAATATTTATATTACCAGAATATGTTCTACTTGGACATCATAGAGGGTCTTTTTAATGTACTTTAGGATTCAGTTTGGTGTTTATTTTATTTGTAATTTGCTCATCTGGATTGGTAAATTAAATTGCCTGTGACTCAGGCACTCACCAGTCGTGCTCCTTTGGCAAATCACTCTGTGTCCCAGTTACTTCATCTGTGAATTGGGAGAAATAAGTGTATCTCATGTGGATGTTTTGAGTACTAACTGAATTAACCCATGCATTTTGTGTAATGCTAGGTACAATGACTAGCAAAAAGTAAGTGCTTTTTGAGTCTTACCAGTTTGGTTTATTTTGAGTCATCTTTTTCTTGCATTTGGATATCAAGTTAAAACTAGCTTCATAAATTGAATTACATAGCTCACTCTCTCTCTCTTTCTCTCTCTCTCTTTTTNTTTTGACACTGAGTCTCGCTCTGTTCCCAGGCTGGAGTACAGTGACTTAATCTCTTATCACTGCAACCTCTGACTCCCTAGTTCAAGCAATTGTCCTGCCTCAGCGTCCTGAGAGGCTGGGGTTACAGGTGTGTGCGACCACACCCAGCTAATATTTTTTGTATTTTCAGTAGAGACGGGATTTCAGCATGTTAGCCAGGATGGCCTTGATCTCTTGTCCTTGTGATCTGCCCACCTCAGCCTCCCAAAGTGCTGGGATTACAGGCGTGAGCCACCGCACCCGGCCAGCTCTCCATTTTTTATGTGACTATAAGAGTTTCAAGTTTTGAAAACAGTCTGTAAAAATTAACTAACATTACAGAAAACCAAACACCTCATGTTCTCTCTCATAAGTGAGAGTCGAACAATGAGTACACGTGGACACAGGGAGGGGAGCATCACACACCAGGGCCTGTCAGGGGATGGGGACTAGGGGAGGGATGGCATTAGGAGAAATACCAAATGTCGATGATGGGTTGATGGGTGCAGCAAACCACCATGGCACGTTTATACCTATGTAACAAACCTGCATATTCCATGTTCTGCAAACATATCCCAGAACTTAAGTATAATTTTAAAAAATGAACTAGCATTAAAACATTTTTGTTGTAGTTCTTTGATAATTTGTCCTCTTTTAATAGCCTTGATTAGCTTTGTTTAAGGTTTCGTTTTGCTTGCTTTTCTTTTTCTTTTTCATATCTCTTTATTTCCTGTGGTGTTTATATTTTCTCTTTTACACTTATATGAATTAAAATTTAATATATTTGTATTTTTAAAAACAGTGGACTATTTAAGCCTATAAATTTGCTTTTGGCTGCAGTTTTTCCATGCCTGATAAACATTAAGTTCCTTCTTTACTGCTATTATATTCTACCTAGATAGCTATTCGATTTTTAATCAAAGTCTTGATTTTCTCTTTAACCCAAGAGTTATTAAAGAGAAATATTTAGGCATTAATTTTTAGAATGGTTGAATTTTTCATAAAATACTCTCGTTATGTTTGATATTCAGAATTAATTTAATACTAATTTTTGTGGCATTTGATATACATCTAAAAGTAGTAATTTATATTAAGAAAAGAAGCCTTAGATAATTTCTGCTTTAATAACTGAACAATTTTTATAGAATAGTCAATCATAAACTATGGTAAATATTTATAGTTATATATCACATCACATGTAATTTGAGATCATTAGATTATTCAAATCTTCTGTTTTTTCTTACTTCATCTGTAAATATTTAAGATGAGTAAGTTAGTACACTTTTCAGCCATTGACTTTTAAACTTTTTATTTCCAATATCTTTTGTTGTCTACATATTTTTATACTGATAATTAGTGCTTATTGGAAGCATAAGCATAATAATTGAAATCATGTTTTTATTGTATTTTTATCAATATGAAATGAGAGTTTGTCTTGTTGAACCTACTTAATCTGAGTTCTACTTTGACCCTTATTAATATTTTACAACTTTTTTCTTTTCCATATGCTTTCTTGACACATATTCATTTTCTTTTATTTGTAATATTCCTGTTCATTTCATATATCTCTCTTGCAGATTACATTTATGTTTTTAATAGGAACAGTAAGACTGCTTAATTCATTCATATGTATTTAGTATGCATGTCTGACACTATTTCTGTCATTCTGCTTTCTGCTTTCTCTCCATAACGTTTCCTTGCCTTTTTTTCTCTCCTTTCTTTGTTCTGATGGACTATATATTATTGATATGCTTTCATCTTTCTTCAGCTTTTAAAGATCTGTTAGTTGTATTCATTTATCCTGCATTCTTTCTATTTTTCTAATCAAAGACATGAATAAACATTGTCTTTTGTATTTCTCAGTGTTAAAAAAAAAAAGCAAATTTAAACTGTTTTCATTTCTCTCATCTATTGCTTCTTATCCCCAAAATATCAGTTCCCATGAATACCTTTATTTTCTTTAGCAATACTGTTAGTGGCCATGTTCTTAGATTACCATTGTTAAATTGTTGTTTTAAGTCGTATATCTTTATTCTGAAAGCTACTTTGCACCTGTGATAGTCTGGTAGGGCAGGCGTGTTTCATGAGCCACTAGTTTTGCATTAGTTACTGCTTATTCTTCTGTCTGTAGTGTCATCAGCATTAGCAGTTGTGGAAATTACTCTTTAATCATTGTTTTCTATAGCCATAGTTTGGTAGATGCTTTGGGACTTCATCTTTCTTGTTTACATTTTTAATATTTGTACTGACAATTAGAAGATGCCACATTCACCAAATCATAGAAAGCTTTCAATTAAACCCTATACCCCTTGGTGTTAATTTTTCTTTATTGATGTATATCAAAAGTCTATTTTTGTGTCAAAATATCCTTTTAAAGGTTACTATCACTAAAACTTTAAGAACTAAATTATGCATTTGTTTTCAATATGTTGATATGTGGCTCATCTTTCTTTAGGTCTGGCACCTGGATCCTGTCATTGCAAAACTGGTTTTAGAGGTGTGAGCTGTGATCGCTGTGCCAGGGGCTACACTGGCTACCCAGACTGCAAAGCCTGTAACTGCAGTGGCTTAGGGAGCAAAAATGAAGACCCTTGTTTTGGCCCCTGTAACTGCAAGGTATATTGTTTATTGATGTCCCACTGTCAATATAGAAGGTTATTTTTCTTGGTTTCTCTGTTAATTTCCTTGGCATTCAGCAATTATAGTGACTTCAGGAAGTATCCACTATCTATTCTACATGTGGTGACCCTATAAATGTCTTTAAATGCCTACTAGGTTCACTGTAGCCAGATGTTTATAAGGCACTTATCTACAAGCCTGCAAACGCACAGAGAATAAACCATGTTTAAAGCCTATGTTATTTTATAACAGAAACACTTTCAACCCATTGCCCAACCAGTGTTAATTTAAAAATATATGGCAGAAATAGCAACCCTTTAAAACTAAAGTGCATTCAAATCTGTTATACCTTTGCATCTAATTCAGAAATGAATTCTGTCAAGGGTTTTATTCTGAATTTTTAAATAATCTTCTGAAGTTTGAACCCAGGTAAGTCTTAAAATACTCAATATATTCAAATTTTTCTGTTTAATTATCAAAAAGGTAAGAAGCCCTAATGGAATTGATTAAAGGCTCAATGTTTTCTTCCAAGAGTAATTTTAGAAATGCAATTTTATTTGTTGTACATGTTAATAACACATCATTTTAACACCAAGGGATGCATTACACCTGCAATTTATAAACATTGAGAAACACAGAGGCAGGCACAAGTTAAAAAGGAAAAAATTGATTTACTTATCTACAGTAATGAGCTCTGTAACATTCTGATCAGACAGTGCATAACTACATTAGCTGAGAGAATGAACCACTCTTTGAAAAAGTTAGCATACTATACTAATGTAACAATGAAAGTTACTACTTTTTTTCTTTGTTTTCAATTAAAGATGGGGCCCTATTAAAATATTTTTATTAGCCTATTCATCTTCTCTAGGCAGCTATAAAATATTATACAGTTAGATTTGATACATGTGACCCTATGTACATATACAACATTTAGGCCGTAATAAGAATAGCAAATATTTGTTTTAATGAAGTGTGTACGAATTGGGACAAGAATGTCCCAAGAAATAACAAGCTAAATATAATAATAGTTACGTAATAGGTATATGTTACATCAGGGGCAATTTAGGCACCCATTTTGAACTACTGAAACAATAATACTCCTGTGGACACAGTAAGCAGAAAAGTCCACAAGCCCATAGTAAAAAGTTGCCATGTCCTGGAATATAGTAAATTTTCTAGATCTATTACATTTCATTCCAAAATTATCTGAAATGAAAATTGCTCATGTTGACCCAGATTGTGTAGCAGTGTGTGAGTGATTGCTTGCTTAAGGACACCTCCCCTCTCCATCTTGTACGCCTTTGTGGGCAATCCTGCAGGCTCTTAGTGCATCTTCTCTAGTATTTATCAAAACACATCTTGTGTGTGCTTTATTCTATTTTCAAAACTCCACAGAAATCTCTAACCTTTACCACTCACTCAAATAAAGGACAGGCAAAGCTAAGCTTAAAATGGAAAAGAAATCTCCTGAGTTTCTAGAATACAGAAAATCAAGCAGGGAAGAAAAAGAAGTGTTTTTATATACCTACCACTCATACAATGGTGATGTCTGGTATTTGCAAGGAAAGGGAATAACAAGCAAGTTCATTTTCTTCGGTAAATATAGTGAGAAAGGCTAGAGCAAGAGAGCTGTAGTGATTAGCAGGGCTCCAAGGGAAAGCCCCTTGAGCTACTCAGTGCCTGCTCTCAGCCGAGCTCAATATTGTACCAAGAATGATTATAATCCTAATAAGAAAAATGCCTCCTGTGAAGACACTTGAAGCTCTACACAGACAATTAAAATGCAACAATAAACAGCAATTAAGAAATTATAAAAGAGAATGAAAAATTAAGTAAATAGCATCATTAAAATAAATGGCTTCCAACCATGTGACATCTTAAATAGAAAACTGTAAGTTCTTGTAAATTAAATTGTTTTAGGATTAAAAACTTGCAGAAAGTAGGTTTCATGAAACAGTCTACATAATTATAAAAATCACGAATTATATGTATATAACACGACATATCAAAAAATTATATCACATCACAATAATATCACAATATGGCATGATGAATTATATCAAAATGTGCATGCAATGTACTACAATTAAGTACCTACAGTCTCTTTTTAAAAAGTAAGAAATAACCCAGCATTTTAACAAAATATGCATACAACTTATATACTGAAAAAACACTTATTAGTGTAGAGAGAAATACACTAATAAGAAACAGTATGATAGTTCATACCATTTAAAATGTACAATTATAAAAGCGTGATTAGAAGACTGAAGATAAACAAAGAAGGAATAGGAAAAAATAAATAGAGCATAAACATAGCAAATAAATTTATAAACATTTACATTCAAGAAAGAAACTATCATACTAACAGTATGATAGTTCATACTGTTTCATAAAAATATGATTTGACATAGATATGTCAACTGATTGTTAAAAACAGCATGGATCAAAATGCTGTTTAAGAAGCAAAATTTTATTGACAGACTAAAATATTGGAGATATAAATTCAAATCAAATGACAGAGTTTTGACAGAATGGGAAGAATATATACATAAGTGTCCATATATTTATATCAAAGTTAATAACTGTAAATATTTATCTGTAAATAGAAATAATATAAATCATATGTGAAATAATGTGTATATAAGTATTCATCTCCAAAATGCATCTGCATATTAATCTTAAACATTTGTACCTTCATTGTCTTATACTATATCATGTGAGTATTTAAATAATTTTTTATCAGAAAGAAGTATCTCACTGAAGTGTGAAGGCGTTTTTAAAAAGGGCTTCATTAGGAAGTCTTGGGCTTAATTGTTTTTGGTATTATAAATTTTAAATTGCTGCTTTGTGATGACAGCATTTTCAGTTGAGGCTGTATTATTTTTCCTGCGGATAAAATGACATACTGAGCTGATATGGACATCACTTTTCCCACTTTTGCTATTTTAAAAACACAGATATGCTACATAAACATAGCAAATAAATTTATAAACATTTACATTCAAGAAAGAAAGGGAAATTCCTAGATGTCAGACTAAAGAGGGAAATCTAAGTTAAGCATAAGCAAGAGCTCAAGCTGAACTGACCACTGGGGTCATGGGGGGAGGGGTGGGAGGCGAGTCTGAGTTCTAAGATCAGGGCTAAAGTTTGGAGTTTGAATGCCCTCACTAGGACTTGGACCCACACAGGGAAATGGCAACTGAAGTCACTGAAGCAGGGACTCTAAAAATGCTTTCAGACAGTGAAATGGGAGATAGACAATTTTTCCTGAAAGCCTACAGAGGAAGCTAGAAAATTCTTCTTTTAGAGGTTCTGAGTAGGTAAAAGCTACTACTTTGTGTGGGACCAAATCCCCAAACCTGTGTGCCACATGGGAATGGATCCATTTTTATTCTACCTTTATGTGCTGGAATTCTTCAACAAGTCAAGGAAATGGTATTCCCATAGGAAAAATAATACAACTTCAACTGAAAATGATCTCATCACAAAGCAAGTAAAGTACACAAAAGGAAAATAACTACAAAAGGAAACCGGTAGCCACAAAAATAAGAATATTAGTACACAAAGAACCAGAAAGGATAGCCTGAAAGAAATGTTATATTCATAAAAATCTGTGGTCATATTTTTACCACATAAATCATAGAAATATGTTTAAAATGTACAATTGTAAAAGCATGATTAGAAGATTGAAGAATAAACAAAGAAGGAATAGGAAAAAACAATATAAAACAGATGCTATATTAAAATTCAAAAGTAACCAGGGTTGGAAAAGAAACACATATAATTTACTTCTAGAAATGAAAATATATATATAGTCGTTAAAATTAAAAATCCAATGGTTGGGTTAAACAAGAGATGAGAAACCACAGGATAGAAAATCAGAAATATAGACCTGAAAAAAATTACCTATAAATTGAAATAGGGAAGTAAGTCAACAAGATGCTAACTGACTCATAGAGTATCAACTACACTATTACATTTTACACATAAGATTTTCTCTTCAACAATGATATTAATGAACATTATCATCATTATATTTCAAAATATGAAAACACTGCTAGCTCAAGATACTAAAACGTTTCTAGTATCTTTGCATTGTTAAAAATTTTGAAATTTCTTTCTCTTGTGTGTTATAAGAGGCAAGTCAATCTCAGATATATGACAAGTCATTGAGTATAAGTGCTGTCTGACTCTCAGTATTTGTTTATTTCAAGTACCATGTGCTAGAAAATCACTCTTTTGCAGTTTGGTGTCATAGTATTTATGCAGCCAGTTGGTTTGTAGACTCTCACACATAATATAAATTGACCTTGATTTAGGTAGTAACAAGTGCTTTTATTTTTTTCAAAGTCTTATAATACAAAGATAAATAGTGAAGTAGAAGACTAGAAATCCAAGTCTGCATTTTCATATTATTTTGCTTTGTTTTCATTGCATTTTACATAAAGTCCTTACAGGCCCATGAGACTATATGATTCTGGTCTTGGCTTACCTCTCCAGAATGTTCTTGAGTTTCAGTCACTGTTTTCCAGCTTTGCTTCAATTCCTTGAGTCACTTAGTTCTTTGTAGCATGTGGAATTTTATAGGTTCTATTCAGATTGCTTGTGAAACCTCACTTCTAGCCCTATTTATTCCTTTGCTTAGCCAGGCATTTTTAATGGCTTGGCTTAACTTCAACTTTCTCAGGAAAGCTGCCCTGCATTCCCCAATCATATCATTCTCATGGCACAATCACTTTTCATATCTTTTTCTTTTATAATCTCATAATTAGTTACTCTGTTTTATGTCTGTTCTTACCTCTGGTGATGCTACAGACCCTGTACATTTTCTTTATCATTGCACAGTTAAGAAGATAACACAATGACTCATACATAAAAAAGAAGGAAGGAAGAGAACTAAAATCTTGTGAAGCTTTGGCAGTCACTTCACCTTTCTGATTCTATTTTATAATTTAGGAAATGGTGTTATTGCATCTTTTCTGCCTAACTCTCAATAGGTATAATTATAACATTGAAGCCCTATACAAATATAGAGTATAACCATAAATACCTACTGGGTTACTTTTTGTTGTTGTCTATATTGCTTTTTGCAAGTAGAGATAACTTTCCATTTCTCTGAAAGGATTTTTATGGTGTGTTAACATTTTTATTGGTTTTGGATTTCCCTCTTCTTTTTCATTTGTGTACAGGAATGCCCACCTCATTAACCTGCAGACTTGATTCCTGGGCATTTTTACAAATGCCCTTCAATGTATACATTTAATCCTGAATCTAAATTACAGATGTAGAATTTTTGGCATAAAAGATTCATGCAGGAATTTATCTCTTGAAGCAGCTACAGTTCAAATAGTATTATGTCAGTCAATTTTTTACAATGACAGACTCTCTTTGACCGAACTTTGCAAAGGCTTCTCTGAGTCCTCTTTCAGATGAGGCTTCATCTTTGAGCCTTGTCCACAAGCCTAGCATGGTTATAGCAAGAATCCAGCTAAGTCAGTTTTTTGTCTTAAGAACCCCTTATCCTTGATATGTGATCCCCCTGGCCTTTTTTTTTTAAATTACATTTTAGGTTTTGGGGTACATGTGAAGAACATGCAGGATTGTTGCATAGGCACACACGTGGTAGTGTGATTTGCTGCCTTCCTCACCATCACCTATATCTGGCATTTCTCCCCATGCTATCTCTCCCCAACTCCCCTCCTCCCACTGTGCCTCCCCTATTTTCCCCCGACAGCCCCTAGTTTGTGATGCTCCTCTCCCTGTGTCCATGTGTTCTCATTGTATATTTCAGATTTTGGATTTTTTTGGATTTTGGCATATTTGCAGCATACATACTGGCTGATCATTCCTAATCAGAAAATCCAAAATCTGAAATGCTTCAATGAGCATTCCTTTTGAGCATCATATAGGTGCCTTCAAAGTTTCAAATTTTGAAACCTTTCAAAATTTTGAGTAGGGATGCTCAACTTGCATATTTGTCTTGAAAAATAAATGATGAATGAACCTCCAACTTTTAAATTGAATTTTTGTTCCCAATGTCTTTGCTAACATGGGTCTCTCGTTCTGTCTCTGTCCACAAGTTCAATTTTTAAACCATGCTTCAAGGTTTAGGTCAAACTCCACTCCTGTTGTAATGCCTCCTTAAGTCTTATAGAAGAAATTGGTGCTTTCTCCTCTGTTTCCATAATTTAATTTATTTCTCAGATGCATTTACCATATTCCACCTTGCATGATAGCTTATTGTGAGTATATGTTTTTATCCAACTAGATATTGGCTTTTAAAGACAGAGGTCTTGACTATTTATCTTCATAGTGCCTAGAATTCTGACCCTAATGTCTTGCCTTGGGTTGTTAAATAAAATTGAATATGAAATTATTTCATCATATTTTTTCAAGGTAATTTTACCAGGCTAAAATGGAGCTAAGGAAAATGTAACTAATGTCTACAAATTTCTAATTGTTGGACTTAGTCTGAATCTCAGAATAGTGGTATTGTAAGCTTTCAAATTAGAGTAAATGAAAAGTAGATTAGACCAAGCACATAGGAACACAGTGTACAGAACAGCTGTACTGTGTCCTCAACGGAATAAGCTAAATCATAATTACAGACATGTTTCATCTTTCTTGGCTTTATACTCTTTTTGAAGATGCTCTCAACTCCAGTGCTTTGGGGATTTATTTGTCACTATAAGTCTGAAATTAGTTTGATTAGTTTTGCTGATATCTATCATTTCAAAATGTTTGAAATCTGCCTTAAAAAGTAAGCTGGCAAAAATCTTAGGGCAGCACTTCTTAAGGTTCCCACATAGAAGTGGTTGAGTCTGTAAATGAGTCATTGAAATTCAGTATCAAAAAGTTAATTTAAAATAAATTATTCTCTTAGATATAAGGAGGACCTCTTTGTTTATTTTTTAAAATTTCTCCTTATTTCTTCATGCCATTTTTTCTCTTCTCTTCTGGTTTTCCTTATATGTTCTCAGATTTTATCATCGCTATCTTCTGCTCAATCTGGATTTGTTTAAAGATGTTTTTATTAAGCTTATACTATGTGTATAAAACTTTTCTATGCATGAAAAACCTGACTGCCAAGAGATTTATTTAAACTTAATAAATTTTATGAAGCTAGTGCTCACTGCTGTACCAGGAACCATGTTATTTTCTCAGACTATAAAGATAAGTAAGACAGAATTTCTACCTTTGAATAGATTACAGCAGATAGCTAGAGAGAACAATCTTTGAACAACGCTTTTTTGTAGTTGTGATAGAGCAATGTATAAAAAATGAAAACGTCATTGAGAGAGAAATTAGTGGTGCAAGGGAATTTTTTTAAAAGCTTCAGAATTGCTAATACAGGAATTCAAGGAAGAGGGAAAATGTAGAGAAAATGCACATGTGGGGAATATTGCAAATCTGTTTCCTGGAAAGCAGGACGCCTTCATTTAGAAGTATTAGTCAAGATCAACTGTTCTTTAAATTGAGAGATTACATCTTTCGCAGTTTTTCATTATATGGTCAGCTTTCACTGGCCCGAGTCCACTTTTTAGGCTCAACTATAGACAAACAATTTTTCAGTATACTGAGATTAGAATGAATGAAACCAATCCGGTGGAGAGCAGTCACAGAATGAGAATAGATCTTTCCCATAATATCACTATGTGACTAACTGTACCGATGTGTTATAGGAAACACTATGAAAGTAAACCAGGGGAAAACTTTGCTACTTTTCTACTTTATCTGATCTTTATCCCAGTTTCTCTACCTGTCAAGTTCCTATGCTTGCCTCAAGTATACATATTTTTAATCTGAAATGTGAAAAGTATTTCTAACTGGCATAATATCAATGTTCTATTATATATCGATGTCTTAATGTCTTTAATTTTTACCAGAAAATTAAATGAAGTAGCTCAGTAACAGAACAGTGAACTTTAAATGAAGTAGCTCAATAACAGAACAGTGAGCCTAGCTGACCCCACTTTACTAAATCGAATGTATTCCTGCACAGGTATGTATCATGACATTTACTCTGCACTCTTAATATACATGGAGATCAAAACAGTCACTTTTACAAGAGTAGATTTGCATCCAATAATCTTTCTCACCAGTATAGTTAGAGAGGATACAGCTTTGGAGCAGATTTTTAAAAATATTTATACTTTAGTTGAGAGGGTAAAATGAAGAATGTACAGTTAATATTTCCTTTATGCAGACATGAACAGAGCTCATAAATTTGAAAGATACCTGTGTTGCTGACACGTCTCTTTATTTGCAGGAGAATGTTGAAGGAGGAGACTGTAGCCGTTGCAAACCTGGCTTCTTCAATTTGCAAGAGGATAACTGGAAAGGCTGTGATGAGTGTTTCTGCTCAGGGGTTTCAAACAGATGCCAGAGTTCCTACTGGACCTACGGCAAAGTAAGCAAGCACCATTTGGTTCTGTTTGCTTGTCCATCGGCCTTTTTTGTTGCTGTCATTGTTCTTTTGTGGAATTTTTTTTTTCTGATAGTGAACTTCTACATAAATTTCCATGAAGAAATAATGAAATTGTATTCAAATACTTTTGTGTATTTTTACTGAAAGCCTTTGAGGTTGTATTTGTAACACTGCTGGAATTTCTTAGACTAGGTAGGCATAGTCTTTTCAGTTTCCATGATTACTGTATGAAACAATAACGCAATTAAAGTTTCAACTCCAAGAGTGCATGATTTAACAGAGAAAACATGACATTGTGATATGAATTTTATTTTCCATTTACCGGTATTTTTGTATACAAGTTGAGAAAAACGCTTTATCATCTATATACATAATACATATTATCCACCAGCTTAGTTACTATTTGATGTTGCCTAGACTATTTCATTATTAAAAGGGGACATTAAATATAAGCAATACCTTCATTCACAGTTGGTTTGAAAAATTACTACTTAAACTATTTAATTGCAACTAAAATTTTGTTTCTTTAACGTAAATGTGTTTACCTTTCTACTTTCACTGCCTACGCTACCCACTGCCTTTTCAACTCTATACAGAGAGCATTTTGTCTCCCTACAGAAGATTGTCAAAGAAAAATGGGACTTCTGGGAATTTCATGCAGCCTATATGGCTGGACTTAAGAGTGCAGAATGGTAGGAAATGGACTGGAGAGAGAGAAGCCTAGAGGGGGAATGAGAAACTAGAACATATAGAGTTAAATATGGTAAGAATTTGAGATCTTTTACTTGGAGTGTCATTGAAGAATTTTAAACCGAGGACTGACATAATCAGTGTTGTGTTTTATAAAGACTACTATTTAGATAAACTATTACCTAAACACTTCTTCCTTTCAACTTTAATCAGCAAACTAATCCTGAACAGAGCTATCTCATATTTTCTCTGTCTGCAGTGCTTTTAAGTCAGGCCTAATATGAGATATTATCTATAGTTTATCAAATATATTGCTTTCAGGGCAGACTTCAAAGAATCAACCACAAATGGACATCTAGTCTAACTTCCTCATTTTGTTTATAAAGTCCCACCCCACCCTCCAGACTGCTCCACTGATAGAGCGCAGTTTCATAGCCAGCCAAGGGACAGAGCTGGTACTCAAGCTTTGATCATCAGATGCTAGAGACACAGAATCCCACTCAGCTGTCTTAGAATGCCTCAAGGGTGATGTTAGAAGGGCAGAAGAGCATGGAATATATTACTTATTGTCCAGGAGGTCAACAGGTTGTACCTGGATTCTATTTCTTGTTTGACCAAGGGAATCTCAGTGATTTCACAGCTTGGGATAAGCAGAGTCAAATAATCTATGAAGAAAATTTTTTAAACATTTCAGCCACATAGTGCCACCCATAGCATTCTTCTTCCCATTACCCACAACATGAAGCAGCTCATGCATGTCTGGTAGGTTCCTGGTAGCTGGTAGCCTAAGCCCTTAGTAATCAGTGTTTTGTCCTGACTAGGGAGGTTGCTTTAAATTAGAAGTGTAGCTGTAGGCCTGACCTTGGCTGGAGCATAGAGATGTAAAAACAAATCTTTATGCATTTTCTGATTCCTCCTTTAAGGTTCCTTCCATTTCTGGGCCAGGGATCTAAGCTGTGGGTCCCCACAGCACTTCGGACCCTATTTGAAGGAATGCATACAGTATTGCGAGATGCTGTCATAGCAACAAGCTGTTGGGTTCAAATAGCCTTATGCCTCAAAGTAGAAATTTTAAAAAGTGGGAGGGGTGGAAATACTGAATGAAAAACCACCTTTCAGGTACTTACATAGTTTCTCTTTTTCCTCTGCATTACTAATACATATGCAACACTTTTTCAAGTCTTTTTTTTCTAAGAGCAATAAGAAATTACTGGTGGAGTGAAAAATATGGAACTGAAAGGCCAACTGTTTAAGTGTGTGTTACAACCATTGTATGACTTTGAGTGAATTTCTATTTTTAAGAAAGCGATATTTGGAACCACATTTTTTAAAAAGCATAGGTTTAATGAGAACAGATTGTTATAAAATACCTTGGAAACTCCTAGAAACATCAAGGAAAAAAAAATAAGCAATGGAAACCTAAGTGAACACGTATATCTAATGATATTCATAACGCTCATGATTTTTTGAGTTTTGTTTTGTTTTGTTTTGTTTTGATGGAGTCTTGTTCTGTTGCCCAGGCAGGAGTGCGGTGGCAAGATCTCTGCTTACTGCAGCCTCCACCTCCCAGATTCAAGCAGTTCTCCTGCCTCAGCCTCCCAAGTAGCTGGGATTACAGGCGCGCACCACCACACCCGGCTGATCCTTTTGTATTTTTAGTAGAGACGGGTTTCACTATATTGGCCAGGCTTGTTTCAAACTCATGACCTCAAGTGATCTGCCTGCCTCGACCTCCCAAAGTGCCAAGATTACAGGTGTGAGCCACCATAACCCAGCATGTTTTTTCTAAATATTCATAGTTTTTGTTTGTTTGTTTTTATTTTTTGTTAATTTCCAAAAGCGGACATGGCCAGGAATAGGAAAGAGCAAAGCTGATAGGTTTTTTTTGTTTGTTTGGCTGGTTTTTTAAAATTAATGATGACTGTGTGTTTTCTCTAAGATACAAGATATGAGTGGCTGGTATCTGACTGACCTTTCTGGCCGCATTCGGGTGGCTCCCCGGCGGGACGACTCGGACTCGCCCCAGCAGATCAGCATCAGTAACGCGGAGGCCCGGCAAGCCCTGCCGCACGGCTACTACTGGAGCGCACCGGCTCCCTATCTGGGAAACAAAGTAAGTCCACGCTTGCTTCCCGCTATTCTGCTTTAACTTACTGATCGTGAGAATGAGTTTTAGTTGGTAATTCATTTGAAGAAAGATGAAATCAAATTACACACTGTATTGGATTGCCAGAGCCAGCTACATCACGTGGAGCTGGGCGTTTCCCCAATGTTACACAAGATCTTAATCAGCCAGGGCATCCCTAGTATGCAACTTTGTAGAGTTGATGTTCTGTGTAAACTTTTTGAATGGGCAAATAAATTAATGAAGCCTCTAGGGTATTTTCATAAAGCAGATTATAGCTATTGGAAGAAACTGTGTTGTGTTTATGTGGAAAGAGTTGTTTTCTGGATTTGTCTGTGGTGGGATACTTACTGAAGTTTTCTCATCTGTTTCTATTTCATTTCAAAATTGATACTCAAGAGATTTACTTTTCCTTCTACCTGATATGAATGTTAATTGGAAAAAGAAATGTATTACATAACTAATTAAATGCTTGCCACGAGGCTTATGCAAATAACATATTTCCTGGAGCTCAGACAGAACTACCCTGAAAGTGCCAGATTGGAAGCACATGTTTGTTTTAAAGCCCACACATATGTAAAAACATACACAGATAAACAAATGTAGCAGCCTCAGAAATATAGGCCGATTTTTTTTCTATTGTGGATTAAATCTATCTAGATAGATATAATGGGGTTTAGAATTTTGTTTTATCTCGCCTGATACTTTGTTGGAAACAAAATTTGGTGGCTTATTTATAAATGTGAATACTTGCTTGTTCTGTGAAAGTTAATACTTTCTCAGCTGATAGTTTAAATAACTGATCACTCCAGAGGCTGTGATGGAAAAATTTCTTCATGAATTGATGCTGTTTAAGCCTAGTTTACACCTTAAAAATATAGCATTCCTTATGAAGAACTCATCATTGATTAAACAAATAAAAGTATATTTATAGTCCATGGTTTTCTTGCATGTCATGTGAGTATTGAAATAGAAAAACTTAGTATCTCATATGCTACTCAGTGAATAGGAATTGGTGGTGTTGGCTGACTGAAACATTTTTAACTCATGGCCAGTTTCTTATTTTTAACAGGCTCCTAAAGGCTATTACAAAAAAATGTGTAAATGTCTAAAACACATTTTCAATGAACTTGTATTTTAAGAGACAGCATATGTTGTATAAAATTCAATAGCTGTAAAAAAAATCTAATTAAACTTTTATTTGCAAGGCCCTTTACAGGAAGAAGTCATTTTATCCTATTCTATTTAGGAAACTCCAGTAGTCCCCTAAAAAACAAAATAGCACATAAGACTTGAATTTCTACTGCTTAGAATTGCCAGAAAATAAAAATAAAAATATACTGTCAATTAAAAAACAAAACAAAACATTCTGAGGAGCTCCAAGAAGAGTTTTAGGTCAAAATTGGATGAATTTCAGAGGTTGTATGTCTCATATGATGGCAAAGCTTATTTAAAGTAGCTTATAATAAAAATATTCTTTACCATATTTTCCATCCTTTCTTCTTTGGCCATATGCATTTTCTTTCTGTTGGCTGACAATCAAACTGACAGAAGGAAAGCAAGCAAATGGAATATTTGATAGAATCAGAACAAAGAATTTGGACATCCCATTAGTAGTTGTCGGTTCCTGAAGATAACTTCGCTTATCCTGGCTGAACTGTTTCTTTCTTATAAGCCACAATGAAGCGCTTTATATTCCCCTACCAATCATTTTCACAGCAAAACGCTGTTCCTGCCTGTGCTCCAGTTTCCATTAAGTGAATAAAATAACGGTAACAGGGTGTGCAAATCGTTTGAATATGGAGGACATTTTTTAATGTAATGTGGAAGCCCTTGGTGGTTTACTGTCAGGCATCTCGGTATGAATGAAACAATTTGCCTTAATAACTGAACCATATAAATTTTTGATACTACAATAATACTGCAAGCTCTTAGAAATTACCACAGTACATCTTAACTGTCAAGTCACATCACGTAAATTATAGTCATGATGACATGCTGAGCTTGGTTGATTTACTATCTTGCTAAGGAAATGGAAAATTGTAGGGCCTTGTTTGTAAATTCAATAAAGCCACTTTTCTAAATAGTGGTGGCTAAATGTTTTACCAGTAATTGCTGTTAGAATCAGAACCATTGCCAGAATCTGACAGAAATAGCATATCAAGATAGAAGTGTGTCTACTTAAATATTGAATTTTATTTATATCCATTACCAGGAGACTGTGGTACATAATCCTTCCTCTGCTTTTTTAGTGTTATTTCCTAATTAGAAAAAAAAAAATATGGGATGCTATTAGCTGTTCCTCAATATTTATATAAAAACTTTCAAACATTTTCCAAGTTGCTTGCTTATAAGTTTCTTCTAACAGAAGGGAAATATGCTGTGCATGATCTCTTATAATGGAGATGCCACAGGCTATTATTCCTTTTTTTTTAGGAGCCTAATCCCAAATAATAAAAGTGTGCTTACATGGGACACACTTTTGCTAACATCGATGTCTGCCTGGTTGTAATAAAACTCAAGAATAACAAAGGAGTACTTTGTATCCTGTGAAATATTTTTCACAGTTTTACTCCTTTGGAGTAATGAAGTATAAATAAGTGATTATAAGTGTATGTGTGGATAATGGATGAGCCCTAGAGAAACTTAGCATGTTTTTATACTTTCCGTTTTTTAAATTCTCACAATTCTCAACTAAGAATTATTCGTCAATTTTTTCCCCTGTGTACCAGTGAATATTTGGCACAATTGGCACAATCAAGTGTTAATTTTCTTGCCTTATTCTAGACAGTCAAAGAGAATTAAATCAGGCACCCACAGGGCTGTCTTAGGTACATTTCATTTTCAAAATGCTTGGCAAATGTTAATGCTTGGTTTTAGGGCATTTGTTTAAGCAACCAGGCAGCAGTGGAAAGAGCTAGAGGACAAAGAATCCTGCTGGTTTGCTACAGGCTAGAGCTATTTAGAAGCAGTTTGGGAATTTCAGAGTTGGGATAATTTACTGCCTTACTAAACTAAGTGCTACTGGAACATTGAAACAGTCATTTACTTAAGGTTACCCTAGTGGTCTGAAATAGCTAAGGCAGCTTCCAAAAGCAATTCTCTTTGCATCTGTAAAGTTCTGAGAGAAGCTAGCTTGGCTTGTCTACTGCTCCTGCATTACTATTAAGGTTTGAAATTCTGTCTCTGAACATTATTAAACTTATGTGATTTGTTCTTTACCAAAACATGCTTATTTTCTACAGCATTATGCTGTCTTTCTGTTTCTAGCTTAGAGAAGCCTTTAAATTTTTTCATGTAGTTGTCAAGAATACCTATAGCCTAGTTTAAGATGCACATTAGGAGAGTCTGCTGATACAATAGTATCTGGATTCTAAAAGTAATCTCTGGTAAACTCTTTTGTTGTTCTTTCTTGACTTTCAGTTCTACTTCACAGATCTCAAATTAAAGCTGTAGATTTAAAGAAGGAAATTGATATTTGAGATTTATAGGACAGGGTAGATCTTATCACATAAAAGGAGCTCAACAAGTATTTTGTAATTGATGCTACATGCTTAACACAAACAAACAAAATTCTAAGAAATTGTTTTGATTAGGTTGCTCAGAAATGCCCATTGAGTTGGATTTGTGTGAGTTGAAAGACGAATTCTGTATTGCTTTAAAAAAAATCAAAAACTCACTAACAAATATGTTCCACTCTCCTTTGAGCAGCATATTTTGTATTTGCGACTTCTTTGCTCCATAGTCCTCCAAATTATTCAAAAGTGGAATTCACATCCCTTCTCCCCATCCATAACTTCCTCCTATTTAAATATTGGATTAAATGGGTTAGTTAAGAAGATCATTATGCAAGTAAAGAATGGCATGGCTATAAAAGTAAATAGGATAAATCAACTGTGGTTGATCTTTTTATTCCATAAATCAGATCCCATCAAGGCTGATTTGGCAATGCAGTAGAATCAGGAAGAAGGTTTGTTGCCTAGAATAAACTGAATTTGTAAACCAAAATTAAGTTCTAAGCCCCCTGACTGAATGGCCCGCCACTTGGCTAAGGGATTCCCAAAGAAACCTGAAAATCATGGGAAGGGACGGTTACACATTCCTCATTATACCCTGCTCCCGTTAGAGTTTAGACACAACAGACCAACAGTAACATTAAAACAGAGATTTAAAACTGACTAGACAGACTCTTTATATCAACAAAATACCAAATTACAACCTCACTCTAATATAACATAACATAACAGATAGCAGGCCCTAAAAGAAATCAAAATATTTTATACCAAAATATATTTATTTGACATATTTTGAAATGACCTTGCAAAGCTGTCTCTTGGGGAAAAATGCATTCTATAGAGAATCTCCTTCTCTTACTCGGTCTTTTCTGGAGAATCTGACACCTCGTAAGGCCTGGTAAGAGACATTCCCCATCAACCTGCTACTTTAGCCTACTACCTGGAAACAAGGACCATGGCTTCCACAACCAACCCCCATTTCTTAACCCAAGCTGATTTCAACTATTCAGACAGAGTTTAACTCTTTAAACCAATTGCCAGTCAGAAAATCTTTGAATCAGTCAATGATTTGGAAACCCCCAACTCTCTTCAAGATGTCCTACCCTTCTCGGCCAAACCAATGTATACCTTACGTGTACTGGTATAAGTCCTTGCCTGTTACTTTTATCTCCGTAAAATATATAAAGCCAAGCTGTAACCCAACCATCTTGGGCACGTATTCTCAGGACCTCCTGAGGCTGTCACAGGCCATGGTCCTTAACCTTGTCAAATAAACCTCTAAATTGATGGATCCCTGTCTCAGATACTTTTTGGTTTATAAATTGTTAAGGATAAATGAGAAAATTAGTATTAAAAAATGAAAAACATCAAGGACTGATTTAATTCCCATAGCTATGATAGAATCTGCTATGTAAAAGTAGCACAAATACAAGAGCTCAAGGTCAAACAGAAATCTGTGTCTTACATATCCTT